ATGTTTGGGACATGTTCAATTGTCGTTACCTTGACTCCCACGGAACAGAAAGGAGAAAAATCCAACTAAAATTAAGATGTGGGCATGAATCAAGATCTTTAATGTAGTACATTGTACAATAGGCTGAGAAAGATACAATTAAAAGAGACTGCGGCAAAAAAGCTTGCAATGAATCCCGAACTTTTATATCAAGCGGTTCTAGTAAACGGGCACCCCAGAACAAATCTAAGTAGCTTACATTGTACATTTTATATTGCTTTTACGCCGCCGTTTTGAATAATATGTCACTGATATATTTGAAGTTGGTAAATGGCAATACAGCTCATTATTAGCTGTTTCTTTGCTCTGCTAATCCACATATCTTCTTAACGTTAGAGTTGTTAATTAATTAAGCCTTGTGACACTCTCTGGAATTGATAAAGTGAATGAGATGCTATAGCATAGAAAATTAGATTCAAGCGATATTATAGGATGGATTGGAATGAGAGAAGTGGGCAGGCGGCGTGGAATTGTGTGTCCTTAAAGGAAGAAAGTTAGGGGAGAAGAACTTGGTTTAGCTTCTGACTGTGATCTAACTCAAAAGAGTTCATATGTTCATTCTTGTTTGATCTATCCTGTTAATTGTTAAAGCCGTGTTTCTCAACCAGTTTAAGAAGTGTGGATGCTAACTACCAGAATTCCCCACCTAGCCATGGCTGGCTGGGGAATTCTGGGAGTTGAGGTCCACACTTATTTATTTATTTATTTATTCAATTTATATGCCGCCCCTCTCCGAAGACCCAGGGTGGCTCACAATACACTCAAAAAATCACTATAAAAACACTTAAAAATTAAAAACATTAAAAACATTAAAACCCATTCACATCATTCATGGCCGGATCTCGTCAGATCACAAAGCGAGATCAACGGCCCCAGGCCTGCCGGAAAAGCCAGGTCTTCACCGCTTTTCGGAAGGCCAATAGGGTGGGGATGGTCCGGACCTCAGGAGGTAATTGGTTCCAGAGAGCCGGGGCAGCCACAGAGAAGGCCCTCCCCCGCGGGCCCGCCAGCCGGCATTGTTTAGCTGACGGGACCCGGAAGAGACCAACTCTTTGGGATCTTACCGGTCGCTGGGAGCTATGCGGTAGAAGGCGGTCAACTTTTTAGAGTTCTTGTGGCCCGCCAGTGGCCAGCGGAGCTGGTAGCAGACTCAGACAGTGAGGAGGTTGGGGAGGAACATGGGCCAATCCTGGAGTCTGGGGAAGGCTCTGATGAGTGCTCTGCGTCGGAGGCAGAGATGGGGCCAGGGCCGTCAGACAGTTATCAGCTGCCTTCGGAGTCGGATATCAGTGGGGCAGAAGAACAGCTGGAGCCTGTTCCCAATGTGGGCATGCACAGAGCTGCCAGGAGAAGAGAACAGCAAAGGAGCAAGAGTCGTCTCAGGAGTAAAGGCACAGTGAATGGCCCCTCTCATATGGAATAAAGAGGAGCGAAAGGGGAGGGGAGTTTGCAGGAGACAATTAGTTCAATTCATTAGGGTGAAGATCTGTTCCTGACTTATTGCCAAGTAATTGTTGCTCCAGTGTAGCGTTTGGAAGATATCGGCTTGGCAACTCTCCAAGCCTGATAAAGGTCTGTAGTTATGTAATCTCATGAAAGACTGTTTGCTGGGACTTTGCTGGAGAGGAATTCCCTTTAACCTAAATAAAAGAGCTTTTATCGGGACGAGGAGTCTGCATCATGATCTTGGGAGGCCTAGATCAGAACAAGAGTTGTCAAGTTTGGGGAATGTGTCTACGGAGATTCTCAGTCATCCAGATCATGGTTTTCCCAAAGGTGCTTTTTCAAGAGGCCACTGGAACTTCTCTGGTTTTTCTTTGAAGCTGAAGAAGCTTCTTGGATAAGAAGCGAGAAATGTCTTCAAAGAAAAACCAGAAAATCCATTGGCCTCTTGAAAAAGCACCTTTGGGACTCTGTTAAAGTGTTGCAGGGCTCTATCTGCTATAGATTTTTGAGTGTCAGATGTCAGGGAAATCAGAAAGTTTAAATAGGTATAATGATTTATTGCAAACTTAAGCTCTCTACAGAAATCTGAACTACTAAGAGCCAAAGCAAATTGGCAGTTGATAAGAGTCAAAATAATGTGTGGTGGGTTCAGGGGTGGGTTCTAATTTTTTTTACTACCGGTTCTGTGGGCGTGGCTTATTTTGTGGGCGTGGCTTGATGGTCATGTGACAATTCTTTAGGATTTAGCAGAGGTACTGGTCTACCAGGCTTTTAACTGCTTGCAGAGCTGTACCTATCTACCCATTTATTTTTGCAGGCACTGGTCTACTCATGTATTTTTGCAGGCACTGGTCTACTCATTTGATTTCTTTTAACACTGATCAGCTGTAGGGCAGCCCTTTGAAGCCCCGCGGCAAGAGTTTAAACAGTTTTTTTCCCTCTAGCCATCAGCTGGGACTCAGGAGGCAGCAATAGATTGGGGGTGGGGCCAAATAAAAAGTAAGAATAACGCAGGGGGGTGGGGGTCCATGGGGGGGCAGAACCGGTTCGCTGACGTCATATCGTCACTGCTACCGGCTCAGGAGAACCAGGCCTAACCGGGAGGAACCCACCACTGGGTGGGTTGGACTTAGAACTCTTGTGGGCACAAAGGGACTCAAGACTTATTTATTTTATTTAGCATATGTTTGGTCACACACAGTATTAAAAACACTTCATTTTTACAGGTTAAAAACAATTAAAACAATAAAAAAAGCAGTAAGAAAACCTAAAAGGAAAACAGAAATAACATTTCAAAGTTTAATGTCCAGTCAGTAGCTGCCATTGTTATGCAGAGGAAGTCCCTAGAATCTCCTGGATACCTTCTGTTAGGGCATTCTCTCACTATATGCTGGATAGTCTGTCGAGGGGCCCCGCAATCACATTGTGCTGAAGGTGTCTTTCCCCCATTTATACAGGGAGTCAGCACACACCCCATGAGTTGTTCTAATTCTATTATATGTCACCCATATGTGTCGGGGTAGGCTAAATCCTGGAGGTATACTACTAGGACTGATATGCTCGGAGACATCTTGGGGGGAACAGCTATTCCACGCCTCCATCCACTTTTGTGTGGTGTTCTGATGATCGGCCATTAACTTACGCACTGTCAAGATTGGTGGATTTCTTGACTTTAATCGGCATCTTAAGAGATCAGGAATGTATCCATGTATGGGTAGAGAGGAATTTAACAGGATCTTACTATACTCCCGAATGACTCAAGACTGATGATGCATTTGACCCCTCCCTCAGGCTCAGCCTGGTCAACTCCTACACTCGGATCTCCATTGCTTCAAATCAACTCTTTAGGTGTTTATGTTCAAATGTGGCCCTCTGTCAGTCTTCACTTGTAGATGCAAATCTAGCATGTCAGGAAGAAATCTGGAGCAGTGGTTCACCTCATTCCTCAGTAGTCTGTTCCAGTCAGCGTTGAGGACTGTGTTCCAATTAAGAGGGGAGAAACCACAACTACGGCCCCTCACTTATGTGGTGCTTGAGAGTTGGGCGCATCCAACTCTCTATTTCACATTTACGTAAAACTGTTGGGTGAGGTCATTTGTTGGAGTTTGGTATCATCAGTATGGATATTTCCCCTGTTAGGATGTCTCCTAGGTCAGGGATCAGCAACTTGTGGCTCTGGAGCCGCATGTGGCTCTTTCACCCCTCTGCTGCGGCTCCCTGTCACTCAAAAAACACATCAAACTGCCAATGTACGACACCTACCAGCATGTGATTTATTGAGGTTTTCAACCCCCGGCAGGCCCACCATGGATAAATCCAAGAAAAGTTTCAGAAGAAAACAGAACATTCAATTCAACTACATATGCTAGTTTTGTGGCTGCTCAAGAAATAGCCAGGCACGGGAAGGGTTTTGTGGCTCCCGGTGTTTTCTTTTCTGTGAGAAACGGGAGTGTTTAAGGCTGCAGACTCCTGTCCTAGGTTATACTAGGAGTGTGTCAAACCTAAGGCCCCGGGGCCTGAATCCGGCCCACAGGGTGCTTAGATCTGGTCCGCGGGGCTGCCCTGGAAACAGCGAAGGACCGCCCCACAGTGCCTCTGCCAGTGAAAACAGAGCTCGGGAGGGCTGTGTGCGGCCCTCCCGAGCTCCATATTCACTGGCAGAGGATTGCCAGAGGCCCTGGCAGCCAAAAATAGAGCTCGGGAGCCTGTTTTCACTGACAGAGCATTCGGGCCACCACAGGCGCCCCCGACACGAGTGAAGTCGAGCTGGCCATGTGCACCCTGGCCATGCCGACCCTGGCCCCCCCAAGGTCAAACACAACCTGATGTGGCCCTCAATGAAATCGAGTTTGACACCCCTGTACTAAGGTTTCCCAACCTTGGCAACTTTTAAGACTTGTGGACTTCAGCTCCCAGAATTCCTCAGCATGGCTGGCTGAGGAATTCTGGGAGTTGAAGTCCACATATCTAAAAGTTGCCAGCGTTTCATTTTTCATGTACCCAAAGAAGAATTGTATTATTATTACACAGGAAGGTAATCAAATTCACTGCTTCATGAATGAAATTAAAAGCTACGTTAACTTTTGGTCCAGGATTGTCCCCCACGCTATGCTGGTTGATGACGAAATGAAAAACTTGGCTTTAAAAAGGAAGTTGTAAGACTTGATTTATGTTTATTTGTTTTGTATGTTGTATTGTTGTATCTATGTTTGTTCGTAATCTTTAACTAATAAAAACTTTTTTTTAAAAAAAAGAAAAACTTGGCTTTATAGAAATAGCGCACCTCTGCTTCTTATCATTCTTTGACTTATCCGAAGTGTTTATATATGATGTAGCTCTGTTTTTTTTGTTTTTTTTAAAATCCTCTCTGTATTGCGACTTGTCCCCCCGTAGAAAGACTTCTGAAGTGTCCTTTGAAATGCAGATTTGGAACTTGTAATTCTGAATTCTTATAGCTTCGGTTCTTAATGTGAAATCTGATCGGTCTCGATGTTTTTTTTTATCTTTCTCTCCAGCTTGCAGTGACTCGTGTCTGAGCTGTGATTCGAGATCCCACTGTACTTCTTGCAAAGACCCATCCAAGGTGTTACTATTTGGAGAGTGCCAGTATGATAAATGTCCATCGCAGTATTTCCTTGACGTATCTACCAGGACTTGCAAAGGTGAAGGAAATTCCAAAAATGTTCATCTTGAGTCTTAGTAACAATGCTCAGCCAAATGTTATTTCTTTAAAAAGTTTTTTTATTTTTTAAAACACAAACATAAAACACACATTTTTTCCAAAACGAAGCATCGATACGGTCACAAATTAGTACAAATCACTAACAAATCTTAACTTCCAATTACACAACTTAATATTTTACTCAGTTATTTCTCTAAATTTTATCAATTTAACTATGCCCTTATCCCAAAAACCGCTACTTAAATCTTAAATCCTAACCAAACATCATTCCATTTTTCTCTTCCTTTTTGCTTAGATGGATATATTTCAAAAATATAAATCATTACAGTTATTGTAAACATTTAGAAAATATTTTAACTATTACTCCCAATATAATCATTTTCATTACATTACTATTAATCCCGACACTATTGCTTCATTTTTACTGTTCCCAACATAATGATTTTTATTTTTGGCTGTAAATTCTTTATTTCTATTGTTAAATCCAATTTATACATTTCATTTTTACTGTTAATCTCAACATACTCCTCCCTATTTTTTGCTATAATGGTGAGCCAAGTTTTAATGGTCTGCATGAACCCACCTCTGTGGTCTCTTCCCTACCTGTTTCTCTCACCTGCCATATTGAAGCCTTTTCTCTTCAGTCCTGTCTCCCACTCTGCAGACGCCCGTGCGTACCCATGTACGGGTAGTCCTCGATTTGCAACAGTGTAGTGACCGTTCGAAGTTACAACGGCACCGACGAAAGTGATTTGTGAGCATTTTGCACACTTAAGGACCGTTTATGGGTCACATGACCAAAATTTAGATGCATGGCAACTTTTTACGACAGTTGCAATGTCCCGGGGGTGTCACGTGATCCTCTCTTGTGACCTTCTGACAAACAAAGTCAACGAGGGAAGCCAGATTGTCTTAATAACTGTGTTACTAACTTAATGTCTGCAGTGCTTCACTTAACAACTGTCGCAAGAAAGGTCGAAAAAAGGGGCAAAACTCACTTAACAACTGTGTTGCTTAGAAACATAGATTTTAGGCTCAATTATAAGTCATGACAACTCACACCCACACATGCTTTCTGCCATGGGTAAATTCTGGCCAAGGGTTTGCTCTGCTCAGTGGTTAGTTGAATGATGAATGAGTTTAAATTTGTAAATCCCTCAATTACCTCCTCTCCTCTCTCTCTCTCTCCTCTCCCTCTCTTTTCCTCTCCTCTCTCTCTCCTCTCCCTCTCCTCTCCCTCTCCCTTTCCCTCTCCTCCCCCTCCTCTCACCATCCCTCTCCTCTTTTCTTCTCTCCTTCCCCTCTCTTTTCCCTCTTCCTCTCTTTTCCCTCTCCCCTCCCTCTCCTCTCCCTCTCCCTTTCCCTCCCCTCCCCTCTCCTCTCACCATCCCTCTCCTCTTTTCTTCTCTCCTTCCCCTCTCTTCTCCCTCTTCTTCTCTCTTTTCCCTCTCCCCTCCCTCTCCTCTCCCTCTCCGCTCCGTCTCCCGCTCCCTCTCTTCTCCTTTCTCTCTCCACTCCTCTCAACATTGGGTCATTTATTTATTAGATTTTAATCTCACTTTTATTACTTTTATAAGTAACTCAAGGCAGTGAACCAGTGATGAAATGTAAAATTTGTTACTACCGTTTCTGTGTGCGTGGCTTGGTGGTGGGGGTAATGTGACTGGGTGGCGTGGCCAACTTTTTTTTTTTTTTTACTTTTAAAAGCATTTTTTCTACAAACTCTTTGGCCGAAGAGGTTGTAAAAAAAATGCTTTTAAAAGGCTCTGACAATCCCAGCTGAGTTGCCTTCATCAGAGGCTTTTTTTTTCCTTTTAAAAGCATTTTTTCTACAACCTCTTCAGCCCAAGAGGTTGCAGAAAAAAATGCTTTTAAAAACTTCTGATGATCAGGCAAGTCAGCTGGGATCGTCAGAGGCTTTTAAAAGCATTTTTTTCTACAACCTCTTCAGCCAAAGAGGCTGTAGAAAAAAATGCCTCTTCGGCTGAAGAGGTTGTAGAAAAAATGCTTATAAAAGCCTCTGACGATCCCAGCTGAGCCACACAATCTTCAGAGGCTTTTTTTAAACTTTTAAAAGCATTTGTTTCGGCCAAAGAGGTTGTAGAAATATGCTTTTAAAAGTAAAAAAAAAAAAGCCTCTGATGATTGCGCGGCTCAGCTGGGCATGGAGGTGGGCAGAGATTTTTGCTACCGGTTCTCCCGAACCACCCGCCGCCATCGCTACCGGATCAGGCGATCGGGTCTGAACCGGGAGCATTTCACCCCTACAGTGAACATAAATTATATTCCTTCCTCCTCCTCCTCTTTTCCCCCATAACAACAACCTGTGAGGTGAGTTGGGTTGAGAGCGTGTGATTGGCAGAATTAGAATTCACATTCTTTTGGTGATTGACCCAGAATCAACCAATCGGCTTTCATGCCTAAGTGGGACTAGAACTCATTGTCTCCTGGTCATTGGCCCAAACTTACCCAGCTGGCTTTCATGCCTAAGACAGGACTAGAACTCACTGTCTCCTGGTTTCTAGGGCAGCACCTTCACCACCACACCCAACTGGGTTAACCGGTTGTATAGATTAAAGCTCAACTGGTTTCAAATATTTGCTGGAAATGTTGCAAGTGTCCTTCAGTATAGAGGTCTTTGAAGATCCACCCACCAAGAGAGCCAGCCAGGTCCTGGTGTCATGTTCCAAGAAAGAAAATCCACTATCATCAGAAGATTGAGGGCTTGCTCTTTTCTGACCCGAACAAAATTGCATTATAAATATATTATCCAAGGGAAATTCTTTTCCATCTTCTTTAGTGACTTATCTCATAATTAGCTACCCTGAGACGACTGATCTTATTCCTTTTTTTAACCATCAAGGTCAAGATTGAGACACGATGAAAATAAGGGGCAGAACCTCTGATTAATAAGGGCCTCTTTATTCATGAATTTGCTAGCTCTGGAAATGAATATTGTTGGAACAAAATGGAATCTAGAATTCATTGTCGTCGGTCGAAGACGGAAAACAGGGCCAAGGGGCTGAAAATTGATCTAGGCACAAATCAGTGGTGGGATTCAAATTTTTTTACTACCGGTTCTATGGGCGTGGCAAGGGAAGGATACTGTAAAATCTCCATTTCCTCCCCACTCCAGGGGAAGGATACTGTAAAATCCCCATTCCCACTCCAGGGGAAGGATACTGTAAAATCCCCATTTCCTCCCCACTCCAGGGGAAGGTTACTGCAAAATCCCCATTTCCTCGCCACTCCAGGGGAAGGTTACTGCAAAATCCCCATTTCCTCTCCACTCCAGGGGAAGGATACTGTAAAATCCCCATTTCCTTGCCACTCCAGGGGAAGGTTACTGCAAAATCCCCATTTCCTTGCCACTCCAGGGGAAGGTTACTGCAAAATCCCCATTTCCTCCCTACTCCAGGGGAAGGTTACTGCAAAATCCCCATTTCCTCGCCACTCCAGGGGAAGGATACTGTAAAATATCCATTCCCTCCCCCCCACTCCAGGGGAAGGTTACTGAAAAATCCCCATTTCCTCCTGATCAGCTGGGACTCGGGAGGCAGAGAATAGATGGGGGCGGGGCCAGTCAGAGGTGGTATTTACCGGTTCACCAAACTACTCAAAATTTTCACTACCGGTTCTCCAGAACTGGTCAGAACCTGCTGAAACCCACCTCTGACACAAATCCCAGTAACCCCTTATTTTTGCTTTTATCTAAATTCACCATCCAGAAACCTTCTTCTCCAGAACTGAAGAAGCTTCTTGGATGAGAAGCGAAATGTTTTCAAGGGGAAAAAAGAAAACCAAGGAAGTCCACTTGAAAAGCAGCTTTGGGGACAACCACAACCTGGATGATTGAGAATCCACACAGGCAACCTTCTTCTGCTTTAATGTCAAACAAATCCCCATCTTTTGCATCGAGAGAAAGTGCATTGGATTGTTTTTATCCTGATAGCAATATTTAACGAGATGTTAAAATAATAGTGTTGAATGGTTCCATATGGTTATCGCAGGGGCGGAGATAAGCTGTCCTAGGTGAAATGCTGAGAATTTGGCAGAGAGATCCAAAGAACGTCTCTGCACTTCTGCTTATTACAGCTCCTTATCAGAGAGATAATTTTTGGAAGAGTTGTCTTCCAAAAAGCTCTAAAAACCATCACCATCTCCTCCTCCTCCTCTTCCTCCTCCTCTCTCCTTCTCCTCTTCTCCTTCTCCTCCTCCGCCTCTCCTTCTTCTCCTCCTCCTTCTCCTCTCCTCCTCCTCTCCTCCTCCTCCTCCTCCTCTCCTCCTCCTCCTTCTCTTCCTCCTCTCCTTCTCCTTCTCCTTCTCCTCCTCTTCTCCTTCTCCTCCTCTTCTCCTTCACCTCCCCCCCCCCCACTCCTGGCCAGGAAATCTGGGAGTTGAAGTTCACACCTCTTAAAAAATGCCAAGATTCAGAAACATTGCTCTGGAGGCTACAGAAAGTGGAGTTGTAGTAGACCACAGATGACTTTGGAGGTGGATTCTATTTGAACAGATTTCCTTTAAAAAAAATAAAATTCTTAACTACCTGTCCATTTCTATTTGCTTATCTCTTGTCTCATCACTTCGGCTTCCTGAACAGTCACCATCGGTGTCATGCCTACTTCACAGATCCCCAAATCCATTGAATTAGTGAGACATAAATGTCAAGTCAGCCTGATCACAGTTTGATTCTCTTCTCTACGGTACCCTTCTCTTCAGACAATTCCTTTTTTCCCCCCCTGATGTGGAAAGCGAGAGGAAGATGAAACTTGGAGGTCTTCCGACGATCCACTTCGCCACATTTCAACCTAGAAATGAGGAGAAATTTTCTGACAGTGAGAACAATCAACCCATGGAACAGAAGTTGCCTTCAGAAGTTGGGTAGCTTCATCACTGGAGGCCTTCAAGAAGAATTGGACTGCCATTTGTCGGAAATGGCGTAGGGTCTCCTGCTTAGGCAGGGGGGTTGGACTAGATGACCTAAAAGGTCCCTTCCAACTCTGTTAATCTAATCTAAACATTTCTTTTCTGAAAACGGTGTTTGAACTGCCGAGAGCCAATGTCACCTTCCTTGTCAATCTGGCCTGCTTAATTAGCCGCTGTTTGTGGAGAAATCCCACAGGCCCCTCGGTCATTGAGAGAGAAAAGATTGATGGCTTCCCTGGGAGGCTGACGTGGGCCGATCAGCACTCTAGCCACTCGGGAGGACGGATATCGCGGTCTCGTTCATCTGGACGGCTGGAAAAAAATGAGCAGCCGCGATTAGGTTAAGATAATTGGGAAAAACGTGGAGCTCCAGGGAAGAATTTGTGTTATTTTAAGACCGTCTCTTTTTGGCGTTTCTTCTCCGGGTCTTACATTCTGTTTTGCCGTTCTTCCTTTGCCCTTCGGTGCGTTCTGCAGACGGTGCTGGCGTGACGGATGAAATTGGGGAGGTATAAAGGGAGCTCCATGGTGGCTCTGTGAGGAACTGCTCTCTTTTATTGTCTTAATAAACTACCAACCTGCCTTCCATTGAGGACCTGTATACTGCACGAGTCAAAAAGAGGGCTGTGAAAATATTTAAGTCGCTATAGAGCAGGGGTCTCCAACCTTGGCAACTTTAAGCCTGGAGGACTTCAACTCCCAGAATTCCACAGCCAGCAAAGCTGGCTGTGGAATTCTGGGAGTTGAAGTCCACCAGGCTTAAAGTTGCCAAGATTGGAGACCCCTGCTATAGAGCATTGCACACCAGAACAACTACACCAGTGGTGGATTTCACTTACGTTTCCTACTGGTTCGCTCGTGCGCTCGCGTGTATTTGATGTCATCCGGGCGGGTGGGTGGAGCCTCCCACCGCAACTGCTACCAGTTCGCCCACCACTGAACTAGACACAAGAACAGTTTTTTCCCAAATGCCATCGCTCTGCTAAACAAATAATTCCCTCAACACTGTCAAACTATTCACTAAGCCTGCATTACAATTACTGATCTGTCCCCGTCCACACACACACACAAACACAGCCAGCCGAGGGTTAAGGAAACACTTTGGCACACACCCAGGTCTTTATCTCCAACTTGGCAGCGATTTACACACCGTCTGCCAAGTGCATTTATTTCCACAAAACAGAAAGATAAGATACTTAGCGTACAAAAGTCCAAATCAGAATAATATTCCTCTCAGCAGTTTCCGGACAAGGCTTTAGTGACTATCCAAGGTTTACTTTTGTTCGTCACAGGGATCGCTGGCCACCACCCTCTATTATATAGTCTCTGGGGTGTGGTCCAGTGACTCAGTTCTAATCCCTAGCACGCCTCCTGAGCTGCTGCAATCGTTTATCACGCCTTCGGAGGCGTGCATCCAGGAATGATGTCTCTCCCTCGCTCTCATCCGAGCCACCTGTCTCCCTGCTAATCTCCTCTCCCCTCGGCCGGCACCTGAGACAGTGCCAGAGGGGAGGGGCCTGGAGAGGGAGGCCTGGCTGACTCCTCTTCCTCACGCTCGGAGCTTTCTTCCTCCGATGGGACAGGCTCAGAGGGAGGGGCCACAACAATTACTATGAATCTTCTCATCGTTCCTATCACCCATCTCCTCCCACTTACGACTGTACAACTGTAACTTTGTTGCTGGTATCCTTACGATTTATATGGATTGTTTCCTAGTATGATTCGATTGCTTATTTCTACCCTATGACTATCATTAAGTGTTGTACCTTATGATTCTTGACCAATGTATCTTGTCTTCTTACGTACGCTGAGAGCATAGGCGCCAAAGACAAATTCCTTGGGTGTCCGATCATACTTGGCCAATAAAGAATTCTAATCTAATCTAATCTTAATTCCAGAGTGTGACTGGAGCTGCAACGTTTGCCACGGTCCAAACCGTACGGATTGCCTGCAGTGCATGGAGGGATATTTTCTCCAGCAAGGAGCTTGCGTCGAGCATTGTCTGCCGGCATTTTTTAGGGAATCTGAAACATGTCAAAGTAAGTCTTGATGTACTGGCACTTAAGGTACCATTTTGTGTGATCACTTTGAGGGGGCGTAGTTCGGAAATCACAACAAATAGTGGCTGTTTTTTTTTTAAAAAAACAAAAACAAATCCACTACAGGTAGTCCTCGATGTACAACATTTCGTTTAGTGACCGTTTGAAGTTACAACTGCATTGAAAAAAAATGACTTATGCACTTACCTGGCATCCAAAACCGGCCATTTGGAGACTCCTGGGAGGGGCGGGGTGGAGTGGGAGGGGCCAGCCAGTCCTTGTAACTACCGGTTCAGCGAACCAGATGTAAAATTAGCATCCGGTTCATCCGAACCTGTACGAGCCGGCTGAATCCCACTCCTGACCTAAACTATTATTTGCCTTCCACTTCTAATTTATAAACATAAACCAGAGAACCAACTTTCCCAAATCTACCTCCCTCCAGATCAGGGGTGAAATGCTCCCGGTTCGGACCGGATCGCGCGATCCGGTAGTGATGGCGGCGGGTGGTTCGGAGAACCGGTAGCAAAAATCCCTGCCCCCCCCGCCCAATGCCCAGCTGAGCCACACGATCATCAGAGGCTTTTTTTTTTACTTTTAAAAGGATTTTTTTCCTACAACCTCTTCAGCCAAAAAAATGCTTTTAAAAGTTAAAAAAAAAAAAGCCTCTGATGATTACGCGGCTCAGCTGGGATCATCAGAGGCTTTTAAAAGCATTTTTTTCTACAACCTCTTCGGCCAAAGAGGTTGTAGAAAAAATGCTTTTAAAAGTAAAAAAAAAAAAAAAGTTGGCCACGCCCACCCAGTCACATTACCCCCCCTCCAAGCCATGTCCACAGAACCAGTAGTAACAAATTTTACATTTCACCACTGCTCCAGATGTATTAGGACAATTCCAAATATTCCCATCCAACATATTAGATGGAATTTCTTGAAGCGGTAGTCCTAATATATCTGAGAGACACAGGCCTGGGAAAAATAGCATGGATGATATATATATAACATGTTCCCCTGAAAATAAGACCCTGCCTTATATTTTTTTGAACCCTGAAATAAGCTCTTGGCCTTATTGCTATGCACTCAAAAGCTTGATTGGACTTATTAGGGGATGTCTTATTTTGGGTCTTATTTTAGCATAAGAAGGCACTTAGGTTCTGCCATGGAACATGCCAACAGGGAGAATCTTGGAAGCTAGGTAAGCCTGGAATAAGTGATTCCTATAGAAGAGAATGTACATATGGGTCAGAGGTGGTATTCAGCCGGTTCGGACCGATTTGGACGACCAGTAGTGGCAACCTGTGGGTGGGACTGGGCACAATCCCGTCCTATATTGCTGTGTTTTTGACGCCGCACACATGTGCAGACGAAGCGTGTGATGTGGCGCACAAGCGAATTGCCATGTTTTGTGACGCCGCACGCATGTTCCGGTGCTCGCACACGATCACATTTCTGATGCTGGACGAACCAGTTGCTACAGTATGTGAATCCTATCTCTGGTATGGATTGAACTCTGGAGTCCTTGGTGCTCTCTGAGCTTGATTCAACAACCAAGCTCAGAGAACACCAAGACTCTCAGAATTAGTGAGCCCAAAGGAAAATTGTAATGGGACTGAGGCAAAGAATGGCACTGGCGTTGACTGGGATTTGAATGGGAGATACTGGAAATTGAAACCTGTTGAAAACAGAGTGTCAGTTGACTTCCATAATGCTGCTAAGAAACCTTCATAGTTGCTGTCCTCAGGAGTTGAGCTTATCTTTATCTTTTCTCCATCCAGTACAGGGGTCTGCAACCTTAAACACTGAAAGAGCCATTTGGACCCGTTTCCCACAGAAAAGAAAACACCGGGAGCCACAAAACCTTCCCGGCCTGACTTTCTTAAGCGGCCACAAAACTAGCAAATGTAGTTGAATTAAATGTTCTGTTTTCTTCAGAAACTTTTCTTTTCTTGGATTTATCCATGGTTGGCCTATCGGGGATTGAAAACTCAATAAATTGTGTGATGCATATTTTGAGTGACAGGGAGCCACAGCATAGGGGTGAAAGAGCCACATGCGGCTCCAGAGCCGCAGGTTGCTGATCCCTGATCTAGTATCTCACTCTGTTTGCTATCCTGGTTCTTAGGGGGTGATAAAAGGCAGGGAATGAATCGCTGCATCCTATGTAAAATCGGGAAACACTCCTTTCTGAGTTTCTTACGGGGCTTTGCAGGATGTGTTGATGACCACTGCCTCCAGTGTGACGGGCCACGGAAATGTGTGCGCTGCCAGGCTCCCTTCCTGCTCCTGGATTCCCAGTGCGTCTTGTCTTGTGGAAAGCGGTACTACGGGGACCACGGAGGGCAGATATGCCTAGGTAAATGAATGAGCGCGTTCAAAGTTAAACACGCTCGATGCCCAGAGCAATCTAAGTAAATTTTAAAAAGTGCAAAAGGAAATCACACCAAAGATTTCACCCATTGGGAGAAATTCATTATTCAAGCGATCACGCTTCATTTAAACAGAACCTTTAAAAAAAAAATAATAATTTGCAGAACATGTTGGAAGGAAAAACCTTTTCGGTAGAAATCCACTAAGCATCTTCAATACGGGATGCCTGCATCAGGACCCCAGGTCTGGTTTAAGGGTTTAAAGCAGTGGTGGTGGGCTGCTGCCGGTTCAGACTGGTTCAGGTGACGACCAGCTGGACTAGATGACCTACAAGGTCCCTTCCAACTCTGTTAATCTAATCTAATCTAATCTAATCCCATGATGGCAAACCTATAGCACAAGTCTCACCAGACGTTGGCAAATGGGCTGTTTCTGGCCACCGGAGGTCCTCCGGGGGGGTGGGGAAGGCCATTTTCGCCTTCCCTAGACTCCTAGAGAGGCTCTGGAGCCAGGTGAGAGAGAAAAACGGGCCTACTGGGCCATCGTGTGGGAGGAGCGAGGGGGGGGGGGCGCATAGAATTATGGGCGTGGGCACTTGCGCGCACGATCCCCCTGCCCCTCCCCTCTCCTGGTACGTGATGGCAAAAAGTTTAGCCATCACTGATCTAATCTAACCTCTTCAAGGGTAAGCCCATGTAGAACCCATTGCAGTAGTCCAGACGTGAGGCAACCAGGGCAGGAGTGACTGAATGTTCGTTCGCCTCAGATTATTGAAATTTGAGTCCAAGTAAAATGCGGCGGCTTTTTAAATTGGCTGTCAGATTTCAACCCACCGCATGGCTGAAGTCAAAGGCAGACGTGTTCCGAGTTAACTTTCCTTGACTATCAATAAAGGAGTTACATAAGAGTGGTCTTGTTTTCTCGGTTTAAAATGCCTATCGTAGCATCTTGCTTTTCCTTTCATGCTAGCTTGTCCCGAGGGATGCTTGGAGTGTGACGGTTCCACCAGATGCCGAGTTTGTAATTCCACTACATTCCTCCAGAAAGGCCTTTGTGTGGCTGACTGTGGGCGTGGCGTCTACAACGACCCCCGAAATCGGCAGTGCAAATGTGAGTTCCCCCTCTAGCCATTACAGGATAATCTGATTCAGCCCTAGTTTCTCGTGTTTAAGATTAAAAAAACCAAACAGTGATTTTACAAGGATGAAAACTGGTTCACACCGCGCACTGAACTACAGAGCTGAAAGAAGCTTCTCGGATGAGAAGCGAAACCTCTTCAAAGAAAAACAATCCAGTTGTCTCTTGAAAAAGCACCTTTGGGACAACCATGACCCGGATGACTGAGAATCTCCATAGACACGCTGAACTACAGTTTGTCTCAACCATGGTTTGTTGAATCAACCTCTCCAAACTTGGCCACTTTAAGACTTGTGGACTTCAACTCCCAGAATTCCCTAGCCAGCATGGCTAGCTGGGGAATTCTGGGAGTTGAAGTCCACGAGGCTTGAAGGGGCCAAGTTTGGAGACCCCTGGAATAAATCATCAAGCTTGCATACATACAGTACACTAAGATATAACCATGATTTGTAATCCATGGTGACTGGGTGCACGCACTAACATTCGCTGAAGTGCCTCTAACCACGTGATGATTTATTAGGTTGAGTATTGTCAGTTTGAAGAAACCTGAGATTATATTACTCCGTGTGTCACACTGGGGACAAATTTTAGAGGAAATTTTCTGCCGCCCTGCAAACTACAGCTCTGAGAATTTAAGACCATAAAGCATTTTAAACAGAATATACCTTTACAGTACATTATCGATCTAATAAAGGAGGATGTTCACTAATATTGGTTTTATGTCTCTCTCTCTTTTTTCCTCATTTCTCCTGAAGCATTCTGGCTATTTTTAAATTGCTAGAAATTTCTTCTTGAGATTTTGGCTATCCTCTTTTCCACCTACAGATAGTCCTTGATTTACAACACTTCATTTAGTGACCGTTCAAAGCAGGGGTGAAATCCAGCAGGTTCTCACAGGTTCTGGAGAACTGGTAGCCGAAATTTTGAGCAGTTCGGAGAACCGACAGTGGAAATTTTCAGTAGTTCAGAGAACCGGCAAATACCACCTCTGGCTGGCCCCAGAATGGGTGGGAATGGAGATTTTGCAATATTCTTCCCTCCAGGAGTGGGGAGGGAATGGGGATTTTGCAGTATCCTTCCCCCAGGAGTGGGGAGGGAATGGGGATTTTGCAATATCCTTCCCCTGCCATGCCCACCAAACCACACCCACAGAATCGGTAGTAAAAAAAATTTGGATTTCACCATTGGTTCAAAGTTACAACGGCACTGAAAAAAGTGACTTATGATCATGTTTCACACTTATGAATGTTGTAGCATCCCCATGGCCACGTGATCAAAATTAAAATGCTTGGCAACTGGTTCATATTTATGACGGGGCAGTGTTCCGTGGTCATGTGTTTGCGACCTTCTGACAAGCAAAGGGGGAAGACAGATTGACTTAACGACCGTGTTACTAACTTAATAACGCCATTGATTTGCTTAACAACTGTGGCAAGAAAGGTTGTAAAATGGGGCAAAACTCACTGAACAAATTGTCTTGCTTAGCAGCAGAGATTTTGGGGCTCCGTTGTGGTCGTACGTCGAGGACTTCCTGCAAATGCAAGGACCAGTCACGAGTAACTCTACCGTTGTAACTTCAAAACAGTCGCTAAACAAATGGTTGTAAGTCAAGGACTATCTGTAATACAAAGTTATAAAAATAAGGGTTAAAAGTTAAAAAATAAGGAGAAAAGCAACCAAGAACTGAGAAGAAATTTCCTGACAGTTAGAACAATCAATCAGTGGAATGACTTATCTCCAGAAGTTGTGAATGCTCCAACATTGGAAGTTTTTAAGAAGAGATTGGGCAACCTTTTGTCTGAAGTGGTGTAGGGTTTCCTGCTAAGCAGGGGGCTGGACTAGAAGACCTCCAAGGTCCCTTCCAACTTTGTCTATCCTATCCTGTCCTATCCTATCCTATCCTATCCTATCCTATCCTATCCTATCCTATCCTATCCTATCCTATCCTAATTTCATTCTTCCCTAATTTCATTCTAATTCTATCCTATCCTATCCTATCCTATCCTATCCTATCCTAATTTCATTCTTCCCTAATTTCATTCTATTCTATCTATTCTATTCTATTCTATCTATTCTATTCTATTCTATTCTATTCTATTCTATCCTATCCTATCCTATCCTATCTATCCTATCCTAATTTCATTCTTCCCTAATTTCATTCTAATTCTATCCTATCCTATCCTATCTATCCTATCCTAATTTCATTCTTCCCTAATTCTATTCTATTCTATTCTATTCTATTCTATTCTATCCTATCCTATCCTATCCTATCCTATCCTATCCTATCCTATCCTATCCTATCCTATCCTATCCTATCCTATCCTATCTTAATTTCATTCTTCCCTAATTTCATTCTATCCTATCCTATCCTATCCTATCCTATCCTATCCTATCCTATCCTATCCTATCCTATCCTATCCTATCCTATCCTATCCTAATTTCATTCTTCCCTAATTTCATCTATCCTATCCTATCCTATCCTATCCTATCCTATCCTATCCTATCCTATCCTATCCTATCCTAATTTCATTCTTCCCTAATTTCATCTATTCTATTCTATTCTATTCTATTCTATTCTATCCTATCCTATCCTATCCTATCCTATCCTATCCTAATTTCATTCTTCCCTAATTCTATCTATTCTATTCTATTCTATTCTATTCTATTCTATTCTTCTATCCTATCCTATCCTATCCTATCCTATCCTATCCTATCCTATCCTATCCTATCCTATCCTATCTTAATTTCATTCTTCCCTAATTTCATTCTATCCTATCCTATCCTATCCTATCCTATCCTATCCTATCCTATCCTATCCTATCCTATCCTATCCTATCCTATCCTAATTTCATTCTTCCCTAATTTCATCCTATCCTATCCTATCCTATCCTATCCTATCCTATCCTATCCTATCCTATCCTATCCTATCCTATCCTATCCTATCCTATCCTATCCTATCCTATCCTATCCTATCCTATCCTATCCTAATTTCATTCTTCCCTAATTCTATTCTATTCTATTCTATTCTATTCTATTCTATTCTATTCTATTCTATCCTATCCTATCCTATCCTATCCTATTCTAATTTCATTCTTCCCTAATTTCATTCTATTCTATTCTGTCCTGTCCTGTCCTGTCCTGTCCTGTCCTGTCCTGTCCTATCCTATCCTATCCTAATTTCATTCTTCCCTAATTTCATTCTATTCTATTCTATTCTATTCTATTCTATTCTATTCTATTCCTATTCCTATTCCTATTCCTATTCCTATTCCTATTCCAATGCACAAAGTTCAGTGACTTTATATGTTACGGAAAGAGTGTTGTGCAAGAATAATTAATAAAAGAGTAAATGGATTTTGTTTCTTTCTTTTGTTTTAGCTTCTGGGCCTGCTCCTGGGTTCAAGGCCAAGAGCCACCTCTTGGTAGGGATTGGTGGGCTGAAACTACTAGATGGTTCCTTGATGGAAGTAGAGAACCTAGAGAGCTACGGAGAAGGCCTTCTCTTTCGCACGGCAGCCCTTCCCACCAATGGCAGGCTGATGGTCCTGGCTGAAGGGAAAGAAAGTGAACAGGACCATTTCACCTGGGAAGACGTGAAGGAACAGCGCGTTTTCTTTGTCCATGACAAAATGAAATCCAGGTGATTTGGTGGTGCTTTCCATCTTCTGTATGAGGAGACTATGAGGAGAATGAGAGAAGGTCCCTCTACCGAATGTAATACCTTCTGTCAGAGTGCGCACAAGTCTACCACGTGTATCAACCAGAGGTGGTATTCAGCCGGTTCTGGCAAACCGGTAGCAGAAATTTTGAATAGTTCGGAGAACCAGCAAATACCACCTCTGACTGGCCCCGCCCCTGATCTATTGGCTGCCTCCCGAGTCCCAGCTGATCGAGTCCCAGCTGATTGGCTGGGTCTTCTTTTGTTGCCCTTCACAGGAGAACAGAGCTGGAAAGCAGATTAGTAGGGTGGGGAGGGAATGGAGATTTTACAGTATCCTTCCCCTGGAATAGGGTGGGAATGGAGATTCTACAGTATTCTTCCCCTGGAGCAGGGTAGGAATGGAGATTTTGCAGTATCCTTCCTCTGCCATGCCCACCAAGCCACGCCACGCCCACCAAGCCACACCCACAGAACTGGTCGTAAAAAAATTTGAATCCCACCACTGGTATCAACCCAGGAGTACAGCCAACAGTGGTTTGTATCAAATAGTGGTTTTTATCTAAGTAGGAATATAGGAGTAGAATCTACAATAGGAATATAGGAGTATTATACAAACAGCAGGAAAGAAGCTCGACAAACAAAAACCATTCTAGCAGGGCCTTCTCTTATTACACAGGCTCTTAAAGGGATAACAGCCAAAAATCCTGCTGACTCATTCCCAGGCGCATGCACGGAAGGTGCGCGTGAAGCTAGCGTGCGTGCGCGTGAAACCCACTTCTGCTTCAAACCCCAGAAAAATGTACAATTGCTACTCTTCTGGTTGAATGAAAATGTGTACCTACCCTGTTTCCCCGAAAATAAGACCTCCCCTGATAATAAGCCCAATCGGGCTTTTGAGTGCATGTGCTAAAATAAGCCTCCCCCTGAAAATAAGCCCTCCCCGAAAATATTTAAACGCAGAGCTGGAAATCAGGTAAGACAGCAAGAGGAGCCCCATCTTGCTCCACGTGCCCCAAAATAATAAGACCTCCTCGAAAATAAGGCCAAGCGCTTATTTCGGGGTTCAAAAAAATATAAGACAGGGTCTTATTTTTGGGGAAACACAGGTATCTACATAGTAATTAATTACATTTATAGCAATATAATACCATATTGGGGTTTCGTCTAGGAATGGCCAGTTTTTCCTGACGCTCAGCTATCAAGAATCTACATCTGAACCAGTAATGTTCACTGTTCGAGCTCTTTCAACACAGGTAAGGTAGAGGATGGGTTGATTTATATTTTTGAACAGGCTGAAGGGGAAAATACATATATTGGCAGTATTTCTCTGCTTGTGTGTAAGATTCCCCGTAACGGGTGAGATAGAAATATATGAATTTCTTACCTGTTTGATCGATGTCCCATATTGACATACATTTAAAGCAAAAATGCAATATATATATATAGAGAGAGAGCTTTATGGTCAAAACCAGCGCATCAAATCCCATCTGGAATTAGCTGCAATCTAATTCAGCAATCACTGTGAAGCTCTGGGCACAGGTGTAATTTGTGCTTGGCAAGGTCATTGCCAACCATTAGGCCACAGTTATTTTGCACCAATGGCACTTTCTGGATCCTCTTCAGGAGCAGCAACTCTAGAGCACACTGCATCGCATCTCTGATTAAGTCATGAGCACCTAAGCTCAGGCTGTTCATTTTTTGGAAGCTACGAATAGCAGGATTTGGGCATCTTATTAAGCCATAAGCCACAGTTTACAAAGGGCAAGGTAAAGTTCACCAATAAATCCGAAACCAAACCAATTTTCTGTTATTATTTAGTAAGAACGGTATAACAGAGTTGGAAGGGGCCTTGGAGGTCTTCTAGTCCAACCAAACAGGAGACGCCGCTATACCATTCCAGACAATGTTTGTTTTTCTTTGAAGACGTTTCGCTTCTTATCCAAGAAGCTTCTTCAGCTCTGACTGGGATGGTGGGGAATGGAAGGATTTATACTCCTTGCAGACAGCTCTCTTTTTGGAGAGTCGTTGAGACCACTTGGAGGTTTGTCTCTTTCCTCAGAGTCCCTTGAATATAAATCCTTCCGTTCCTCACCGTCCAGTCAGAGCTGAAGAAGCTTCTTGGATGAGAAGCGAAACGTCTTCAAAGAAAAACAAAAAAGTCCAGTTCAGTGGTGGGTTCCTCCCGGTTTGGTCCAGTTCGACCGAGCCGGTAGCGGTGACGATATGACGTCACCGAACCGGTTCTCCCCCCACTGCCCCCCACCCCCCACGTTATTCTTACCTTTTATTTGGTCCCACCCCCAATCTATTGCTGCCTTCTGAGTCCCAGCTGATGACTAGAGGGAAAAAAACTGTTTAAACTCTTGCCGCTGGGCTTCAAAGGGCCGTCCTACAGCTGATCAGTGTTAAAAGCAAACAAATGAGTCGGGTCGTAAGTGTGAGGACTGGTCGTAAGTGCGAGGACCTTCCAGAAATGACTCTGACCAGCTAGCCACGCCCACCTAGTCACATGACCTCCAAGCCACACCCACAAAATAAGCCACGCCCACAGAACCGGTAGTAAAAAAATTTAGAACCCACCCCTGGTCCAGTTGCTTCTTGAAAAAGCAGATTTGGGACAACATTGACCTGGATGATTGAGAATCTCCGTAGACAAACCAGTCCATCTAGACAACCTTCCTAGTATAATCTGGATGAATTCATCTTCTTGGGTTTAGAGATGCCTTGTTGAGGTACTTTTATCTCCCAAATGTAACTTGACCAGCATGTCTCTGTAATCTGCCCACACGTTGTCTTAAAACTCTGGAAAGCTTAAAGGAAGATTCATAAACTACAGTATGACCTGATAACCCTCAGTGCCTATCTGAAGAAGCTGACTCAGTCTTTCTGAAAAGCCTGTGAGAAGAAACACTTACTCATTTCACCGAATGAGGTCATTTGCTAGCTCTTAGATTTCAACACATTTAGTTCCTCAAGCCTTATTTAAGGTTTTGTTTTTTTTAAAAGTCAGCTTTAGCAGAAGCCAGACAAACTCTCAAAATTCTAAAAGTGGAATGCTACTCCAAAACTACTCCAAAAGTACTACTCCCCAAAAAAGTGGTGTTATTAGCGAGTTTTAGAAAATACACTTTGTTGTGACCTAGGTTTACTGAGTCATCACACAACACAATTAGTCCCCAAAAAACCCTTTTTTTATTGGAACAGCTGAGAATTACATTCATTCCCAGCTGAATCCCAATTAGTTGCAAAACAAGTCCTTCGGAAGAAGTCCTTCAGGATAATCACCAACCTTTATCTTCTTTGACACCCTGCCAAAGGCCTTACTTGGCAAAGCCCCACAAAGTTCAGAAACAAACAAGAGATGCCGACTGGAAACAGAGTTAGCAACGTTGCTTTCTTGCAAAAGGCCCAAGTGCTTTTGTTTCTCTTTTAAGCCTTATGGGAGGGGCCAATCATCTCCTGGCCTTACTCCCGAGTCGTCCCTTTTGCTTTAGCTGCTCTTGCCTTCTGGCAGCTCTGTGCATGCGTGCACTAGGAACAGGGTCCTCCTGTTCCTCTGCCTCTCTGCTGTCCGACGCTGGGGTCTCCGGAGTCCGCACGTCATTCCGATGGCCCTGGCCCCATCTCTTATCCGGGCCTTCCCCAGACTCCAGGACTGACCCATGTTCCTCCCCAGACTCCTCACTGTCCGACTCTGCTGCCAGCTCCACAGGCTGCTGGCAGACTACAACACACTTTTCCCCAAATGTTTCCACAATTTTGGCCACTACTGTAGCTTGAAATAGATCTATACTAGTCTCCCTTTATTTCTTTGTCGGTAAAATATAAATTCAACACAAGAATAGTTTGTCGCCAAAGCGACGACCTGCAAAAGCTCCTGGTTTGGGGCTGAAAGGCGAAAGCAGAAGCAGTATGTTCCATCCCATATTTGGATAGACCAGGTTACCCCGATAGACTGGTCTCACCGGAGGAAACACACAGGTGCACATACACGTGTTCCATTTTACCAAGCTGAGGAAGTCATATCTGAACAACCGGGATTTGATGTTTTATCTGGTGAAGATACAGAATTGAAAAACATTCCCGAAAAAAAATGACTTCTGTACCGCTCTCAAGAAAAATTGCATCGTTGTGCCCAAGTAGTCAATTCTAGAGCATCTTTTTTTAAAAAAATTAAAAACTCTGTGTTCTGAAACAGAGAATACAGATGATCCTCGACGTACGACCCTAATAGATTCCAGAATTTCCACTGTATGTCACGATGGTTGTAAGTTGAGTCATCCACGTGACTGACTCGATTTTACAACGTTTTTTTTTTTGCAGCGGTCCTTCAGCTAATATGGCAGTCATTAAGCGAACGAGGTGGTCATTAAACTAAAACCACGGTGGTTAAGTGGACGCTGCATTCGTTAAGCAAACTGTTTGGCAGTAAGAGCCTTTTTGTTACTGGAAACTGGTTTGCCACAAAAAAACCCATAAATCACAGTCATATGATTGCGGGGTGCTGCAAATCACAATAGATGCCATCACACATTTCCAAGTGCCCAAAATGCCAGCGGAATTTTGAAACCAGGTCTTAAATACTGATTTTTGGGGGGGATCCATTATAACTTTTAACGGTCACTAAGTGATCTACTGTAAATTGAGGACTACCTGTACCAGCCACTCAGGAGTTGATTTTTGTTGTTGTTATTATTCTATTTCAGGCTCCTTATGTCTTCAAGAACGAAGTCCTTTTGGTTAGCAAAGGGGATGCTGGAACCATCACCAGCCACTTGCTTGATATCCAGGATAGGGATAATCCTCAAGATGTGACGGTGACCATTTTAGACCCTCCAAAACATGGGCAATTGGTCAAGCTTTCAGGAAACGGCCCTTTGACTCTGCATGTGTTCAGCCTCGGTGAACTTTCAGGAGGATTCGTGCATTATATTCATGACGGATCCAACAGTTTGGAAGACATGGCAGTTCTGCAAGTCAGCGATGGGTACCACTTTCAGAATATACTCTTCCGCATCAAGATTGATCTAAAGGTAAGACCTCTGAAGTTGTGCCAGCAATAGTTAATAATAATTTGGTGCCCAACAGCGTTGGGAGGGTAATGGCCATAATCCTTGACTGTTGGTCATGCTGGAGCTAATAGAGGCAGTTTGGTCTAGTGCCGTGATGGTGAACCTATGGCATGCGTGCCACAGGTGGCACGCAGAGCCCTGTTGTGGCTCCATTACCTGAGCCTGTGTCATCGGCAGGAGAGGACTCCGAGAGTGAAGGAGAGGAGTTGGCAAGGCCTCCCTCTCCAGGACCCTCCTCTCTGGCAATGCCTTCGGTGTCTGCCGAAGGACAAGAGGTAGGGCTGGGGCCAAGCACGTCCACGCAGCCACAGGTGGACAGTGATGAGGGAAATGAGTCTTGGTTGGATCCTCGGCAGCGTCGCAGAGATAAGCGCGTGCAACAGAAGAAAAGGCGTGACAGAGATTAAGCTGAGTCACTGGACCACACCCCACAGGGTATAAAAGGGGGTGAGGTGGCCATTCAGACTCTGTGACGGACAAAACTAACTACTATCGAGTCACATTGCATCTTTGGAAACAACATTATCGGCCTTGGATTTATTTTACGAACTGGACAATTCTTGAACTGTGTGTATCTTGTTTATGAGTAAAGTTCTTGGCAAGCAGCTACTGGGTTGCTGCCAAGCTTCTTATCGGAAGAATTGGTTGTCTGCCAGTTTATTTAACCCCCGGCTGTCTGTTTGTGTGCGTGTGTGAGATGGGGACAGAACAAGCCCTCTCTGCAGACATGCCAGCCGTCGCCCCAGCCCAGCTCCATCGCGCATGCGTGCGCACCTCCTGACGGCCAGCTGGTCTTTGGGTCTCTTCCTTGCTAGGGGCGGGGCGCATGCAGAGATGTGCGCATGCATGCGGGGGGTGGTGAATGCACGGGGAGCGCTCACATTGCATTTTGTGGGTCCGCGTTTTGGGCCTGGAAGGCCTCCTGCACCAACCTAGAAGCCAAAACAGAGCGAGGGGGGTGGGGCGCATGCATGGGGTTGCTTGCATTGCATTTTGGGGTGTCACACATGCATTTGCGCTCCATTTTGGCCTGGAAAGCCTCCTGCACCAACCTGGAAGCGAAAAATGGGTGAGGGGGAGTGGGGAGCATGCGTGGGGGCGCTCACATTGAATTTTGGGGTTTCACGTACGCATTTGCGCATGCTTGCTCTTTGGGCACTCAGCACCAAAAAGATTAGCTATCACTGGTCTAGTGATTGAGGCACCAAGCTAGAAAACGGGAGACGTGAATTCTAGACATGAGAACCAATTGGGTGACTTTGGGCCAATCACCCGAAGACCCTGAGTTCTAGTCCCGCCTTAGACATGAAAGTCAGCTGAGTCGCTTCGGGCCAATCACCAGGAGACTGAGAGTTCTGGTCCCGCCTTAGCCATGAAAACCAGCTAGGTAACTTTGAACTAGTTACACTCTCTCAGCCCAACTCACCTCACAGAGTTGTTGCCGTCGGGAAAGTAGGAGAAAGAAGGAATATTGGATACGTTTGCTACGTTGTGTATAAAAATAATGAGGGTAGGAAATAAATAAGTTAAGTTGTGGTTGCTCATATGTTCATGGGCAGAACTGTTACTGCCATGTTATCCTTGTATAATAAGGGTTACATAGGCTGCTGTTTCTTCTCGTGTGTCAAGGTACTGGTTATAAGTCTAGAAACTTACATGGCTTGGGATGAATTTGGTCTAGTGGTTAAGCACCAGGCTACAACCATGAGTTCTAGTCCCGCCTTAGCCATGAAAACTAGCTGGGTGACTTTGGGCCAATCACTAGGAGACGGTGAGTTCTAGTCCTGCCTTAGCCATGAAAGCCAACTGGGTGACTTTGGGCCAATCACTAGGAGATGGTGAGTTCTAGTCCTGCCTTAGCCATGAAAGCCAACTGGGTGACTTTGGGCCAATCACTAGGAGACTGTGAGTTCTAGTCCCGCCTTAGCCATGAAAGCCAGCTGGGTGACTTTGGACCAATCACTAGGAGACTGTGAGTTCTAGTCCCGCCTTAGCCATGAAAGCCAGCTGGGTGACTTTGGACCAATCACTAGGAGACTGTGAGTTCTAGTCCCGCCTTGGCCATGAAAGCCAACTGGGTGACTTTGGGTCAATCACTAGGAGACGGTGAGTTCTAGTCCCGCCTTGGCCATGAAAGCCAGCTGGGTGACTTTGGGTCAATCACTAGGAGACTGTGAGTTCTAGTCCCACCTTGGCCATGAAAGTCAGTTGGGTGACTTTGAACCAATCACCAGGAGACGGTGAGTTCTAGTCCTGCCTTGAGCATGAAAGTCAATTGGGTGACTTTGGGCCAATCACCAGGAGACTGTGAGTTCTAGTCCCACCTTGGCCATGAAAGTCAGTTGGGTGACTTTGGGCCAATCACTAGGAGACGGTGAGTTCTAGTCCCGCCTTAGCCATGAAAGCCAGCTGGGTGACTTTGGGTCAATCACTAGGAGACTGTGAATTCTAGTCCCACCTTGGCCATGAAAGCCAGCTGGGTGACTTTCTCTCAGCCCAGTTCACCTCACACAGTTGTTGCTCTGGGGAAAATAGGTTGAAGGAGTATTGGATATGGTTGCCACCTTGAGTTATTTGTAAAAACGATAAAGGTGGGTTACATACACATAAATAAAAATAATGTAACAGTTGTACATTCCAATCCACATCATAGACCTTGTACACAGTGTTATACTTACTTACTTAGAAGTCATTTAAAGGACTCACTTCAAAGGAAATGTTCATGCGGCTTTAAACCATCTTCCCTTTCCAGAAATTTGCTGGCTACAATCATTCTGCCTCCAGGGGTTTCTCCGTCAAACTGTTTTTCGTTTTTTCACTAGCCTGTAATTTGTAGGGAGATGGAAGTGAGAAAACCATGTGCATTAAAAGCGACAAAAAAGTCCATGCACTCAGAAAATATCCTATCAGGACGACCCATTCTGGCTTCCTCCTTTTAATTTTAAGAATGTTACTGTTAGGAAATGATAGTTACCTAACTTGTTGGGTTGGCAATATATAAAACCTCAATATAGCTTTAAGGCTGTATTGCTGTATTGCATCATACTGTTTCCTGATTGGTTAGCTCTGTAGCCAATGTCCTTAAGAGAGAGCTTGAAACATGGTTAGTTTCTTTTTACTGCTCTCTGCTACTCTTTGCTGAACGTTACTAATCGTTACTGCTATTTGCTGTGTTTGCTACTGTTTGCAACTGTTTATTGTGTATGACTACAACGACTGGTAAGAAGACTTAGTACTTGGAATATCCCTGGACTATTGTTTTACTGTCTACTGCTTTATCTGTGTATGACCTGGACTGTTTATTGGACTATGCCTTATTACTATTTTCCTAAAAGTAAACACAACTCAGGGTATCTATGTGTTGACTGTGATTATTTGCAACTGCTCTCAGTCGCTTTCATGTGCACACCCTTGCTACTCTAGGGTTGCTCTGCTAATTCCTCAACAGCTACATTAACCTAATTAGCCAATGAAAAGTATAAATATATGTAATAGTATAAATGGCAGAATACAGGTAGTCCTCGACTTACAACAGTTCATTTAGTGACCGTTCGAAGTTACAATGGCACTTTTGACTGTTTTTCGCACTTGTGACTGTTGCAGCATCCCCATGGTCGCGTGATCCAAATTCGGATGCTTGGCAACGGACTCGTATTTATGACGGTTGCATTGTCCCGTGGTCCCGTGATCCCCTTTTGTGACTTTATTGCGAGCAAAACCAGTGAGGAAGCCAGATTCACTTAACAACCGTGCTACTAACTTTATAACTGCAGTGATTCGCTTAACAATTATGGCAATAAAATGGAGCAAAATTGTATAAGGTTAAAGAATTGTATAATAATATTAACTTTAACATAATTTGTATTACCGTATTTTTTGGAGTATAAGACGCACCGTTTTTCCCCCTAAAAGGGGTAGCTCCGCCCACCCACTGGCCCCCACCCTTTGGCCTCTGCCTCCTAACAGTTACCTCCTTGCAAGCAAACAGCAAATAAAAACAGCTCCTTTCAGCTTCAGCACAGCCTAATTAGCACAAGTTGATTGGATCGGCCTCCCTTTCCTCTCAGCTGTTTTGCTAGGACTCTGCTGCTTGCTGTAAAGAGGTAAACTGCTGGAGCAGATTTTTTTTCCTTGTGCTAATCAAGCTATGCTGAAAACGAAAATGAAAATAAAGCAGGCTGTTTGTTGTTTGCTGCAAGGAGGCAAAATTGCTCAGAGGCAGAGGGAGATTTCTTTTTCTTCTTTTCATCACCAAAAAAGATAGGTGCGTCTTATAGTCCGGTGCGTCTTATACTCCAAAAAATACAGTAGTTTAAAGTGTTGGTAGATATTTAGAACCAGTGATGTCATATCTAAGTCCGATGTTTTTTTTAATTTTGAATGATTAATAAAAAACTTTTTTAAAATTTTAAAAAAATGGAGCAAAATTCAGTTAGCATATTTCTCACTTAGCAACATCAATTTTGGGCTCAAATTGTGGTCGTAAGTTGAGGACTACCTGTAGAACCTATCCTTATCCTAAAAAATGAGGGGAAGGGGGAGAGAAACAGAGGTGACCTGGAAAATAATAATGTCAACAGAAAAAGATGTTAGTTCTATCAGGCTTCCTGGAAATAATAGTGCGTATTACACGTGAATGGGAGATGAGTGAAGCACATACTTTTCAGCTACCACAGTTGAGTGATGAATGCGCAGAGTGATAAAATTAACACAAAGGGGTATAAACAATTGAGGGCTTTGATTAAGACGTCCATTAAGAGGAGCAGATGCATCCCAGAATTTTATGACACAGATATATTGTCTTGCAACGGATGTGTCTGTGCGTCTGTAGAAGTGCGAGTCAGTCATAGGACAAAATTTGGAAAAAGTGCAGAAAAGAGCAACTAAGATAATTAAAGGCCCAGAGACTAAAACATACGAAGAACAGCTGCAGGATTTGGGTTTGGCTAGTCTAGAGAATG